CAATATACCGTTACAGATTGGAAAATACATAAAATTAAGACAATTTTGTATTTTGCACACCGTTTTATAACATGCGATGAAAGGTATTATTTGACAGTTTTATGTAAACTGTGAGCGACCAAAATACTTAAATCTGAACAACATATACATATCATAACTGTGGTGTTGTGTATTGCATGACACATTCGGTGCGAAAACCTTCTTGTATGTAACGAATTCAATTTTCTGGTACTATTGTTTTGGATTTCAGCGTTTCTTTTCATTTGAGATGAAGCCTGAACAATGTTGTTGGGGTTTTTTGTTTATTTTACGAGAGACATATGGGCAAAAATTAGGTTACAAATGAACAATGAAATGATCGCGGGACATAGCAAATTCTATCCACCATATACAGTAGTGGTTGTCCGACTAATTGAAATAATCGAAGATTGGTCGCAGTAACTAAACGACCAAGCAATCGATCATGTTTTTTCATAATCGAACACAAACAATTCTGGAACACTTGTTTTCATTTACAGTATTTTTCACTAGGTTGGTTTTGTCTGTTACATTTCATAAGCACTACAAGCTCGTTCCAAGTCATGATTGAATTTATCTTAAAGACTCTTAGAAATTTATGTTCCTAACATACTAGTCACCCTTTAAAGATGTGAAATTTTGCCCCCCGAACCCCAAAGAACTATATGTTTTTTCCTTATTTGTTTGTGCATTAACAAATTTGATAAATGACGCTAACCAATTATTTTCGATGATTGATCGCTTGTAATGAACCAATCATCAATTATGAGATTTTAACCAATTCCCAACACTAATATACAGACATTTTTATTGCTGGAATATTGCTAAAAGCGACGTAAAACTATACTCGCTCACTACAATAATTCTTGTACTAGTGTTTCTTACACACCCGTGGGTGAGAAACCCATGTGAGAAAACTGGTATCACACATATGTGTGAGATCGATTTCTTATCCCGTGATTGGCTACTCCATGGTGATGACCTAGGGTCAGGTTATGACGGACTACTTTCCTGATTAAAATTCATTGATAAGTTACTCGTGCTTCAATCGAACAGAAACCTGTTACTCTTGCAAAAAATACCCCTTTACACCTACCTGTTATTTTCGCGATTGCAACATAAACAGGTATCTATACAATGAGTCACAAGTAGAATAAATATAACACGAATCTATTTATTTTCTAATTCTTTTTATTAAAACTTTTGATTTCTAGTCATGAATTCAAAATGGCTCGAACAATCAGTGATACCTGTGTAAACAATTATGTGAAAATCACCGTTAGAGATAAAACCCGGGATTCACTTCGAATATTCAAAATGTACAACATTGGTACTTTTACTGGAGGGATGCGACAAGTGTCATGTGTCGTCTTGCAAAAATACCTGACACGATAACGCCAGTGCCTGTCCATTGTGAGATCGATTTGCATCGTTGTTTCTTTGATGCATTGATGAAGATGACATTTTTCACTGATAAACATGATGAAGACCCACTTCCAGCTCCGAGATACTATGTGATTCTAATGTTATCAAATTCACTCATGACAATCAGAACAAAAACACACTCGTTGAAACAATGTACAACATGGTACGTTTTGCAAGGCTTCATGAGTGCAAATGGAGGTACACGTCTTTTCTATTCAATCGAACATGTACAGGAACGGTTGATCTACACAAAAGTCATTGCTCGTGACATTCCTCCGACGCATGATAATGAAAAGTTTATGTCTTGATAACATACAGGGGATGTAATCAACTCACATTTCATACTTAAAACTCCGTAAATTCTATTACATTCCAAGTGGCAGTTTCGGGCTCGGGAAAACGAGAAGGCTGTGGCGAAGAAAAGTAGTCCCCCATTGATAGTGAACGTAACCTCAGCAATGTCACATTCAAGCACACTGGGTGCACCTAATTACACACACTCAAAAGTTTTGGCTCCAGTCGATGGAAGAACATTGAATGTAAACTAGTATACACAAGTACAGGTCTCCAATGCGCAGAGATAATCGAAACAATCTTCCGATGACGACAACCACCAAGCGATAACGATGACGTCACACGCTCAAATAATTTACGCTTGCAAGAATTCAAATCATCCACATTTGCATGGTAACATCATCGTTTTAGAGGGTTTAATTAATTTTCTGTGATCTTATCTAGTTATCATTATCACTATTGCCTTGATGTTGCGAAGAGGTGGCAGAAACTTTTTTGTGGAGGGTCACCATGGGGATGAGTAGTGATTAGGAAACCAAGTTACGTCACTCATTCATAAACGTTGTGTTGTGTATTATTGCGCACCTACGATGAGAAAAATGAAATTTGAATCTATTCGACCATAAAATGGTGCGATTTTATGGTGTGTAAGAAACAGATTACTGTACTCGTGTCTGTCAGATACCATTTATCTTACAACTCGTTGTTTCAAAACGTATTTAACTCGCTTTCGCTCGTTAAATACGCTTTGAAACAACTCGTTGTAAGATAAATGGTATCTGACAGACACTCGTTTAGTAATCTCTATATCAGACTTATGCCTTGTTTCCATTGTTCATGTGGTGACGTTATCACGGAAGCTTGTGACGTCATCCTTTTGTGTGACGTAATCGTAGTAAGCCGGGTAACGTCAGAACATTCCTAAATGATTTGTACAAGTACACTCACATGCGAAAAGTGTCAACTTTGTCGACTTGGCCGCAATAACGTGTGATGTTTCGGTATTTCAAACGCGTCACGTTGAGCGAGTTGGAAACGTATCGCACTATAACTTCACATGCAAACGCAGCGCATGCTATTTTAAGACATGTGCTAGGCGGAAGTGATTTTTGTCGTCTGCTTTCGACGTCTGATCGAGGTAGACACAATGGGTCGTAGGGGTAAAGATCTGTCGACCTCTGTGAAAACAAGCATCGTATCGCTAACTGAGAGTGGATTAAAACAGTCAGAAATTTGTAAAATATTGGATTTGTCCAAGAGCACAATCAGTAAGTTTTTGAAACGTTATCGCGACAGGGAAAATATAAATAACTCTGCTCGAAGCGGAAGACCGAAAGTCATTGGGATTCGTGGCCAGACAACATTATCAAGGATTGTTAAGAAACTTTAAAGAAAGGAAGGCGTAAAAGTTTGTCTGACATTACTAGTGAATATAATACCTCAGTACCTGTACCTGCTTCAACTAGATCCATTCAGCGTGAATTACACCGTTTGGGCTATGATCGGAGGATTGTTTGTCATTAAGAAGCTAGGAATTCGTGAGGTAAATCGGAAAAAGCGTCTCCAGTACTGTAGAGGAAAATTACACTGGAATGTTGATCACCACTGGCGAAAAGTAATATTCAGTGATGAAATGACAATAGTTATCAAGCCAGATGGAAAAATCAAAGTCTGGAGAAAAAGTCGAAAAAAGTCTGAAAGGTGGCTTGGCCAGTGCTCGGTTACTTAGCTGACAAACCTGGTCGCTCTTTAAAGTTAATGATGTGGTGCTGCATAACTTACTATGGGACCGGTGTTTTAGAGTTTGTGGCAGGCAACATGAACAGTCAGAAGTATATTGACGTACTTGACAGGTGTTTGTGGCCAGTAATAACCAAACACTTCACCAATAAACAATGGATGTTCATGGATGACAATGCCACAATTCACCGTTCTGCTGCTACAGAAGCCCGGAAGCGAACAAATGAAATTGCCCCATTTTTCTGGCCTCCACAAAGTCCAGATTTAAATCCAATTGAAAATGTGTGGCTTGTCCTGAAGAACACTGTGAAAAAAAACATTGCAAACGTGAGGACCACTGATGACCTCAAGGAAGCGCTTACGACTGCCTGGGAAAAACTGCCGATTGCATACATCCATTCGCTTTATTCTTCTCTTTCACGTCGCTGTCGACAAGTTCTAATGTCAAAGGGTCACATCACCAAGTATTAACTTTATTGGAATACTGTAAGGTAAGATATTAATATCTAAAATTGGATTTAGCGCTCAGGAGACCGGCGGCCATTTTGATAAAGTTGACAAAATTTTGGCATGTGAGTGTATTATGAGAATTGCGTGAATCATTAATGAGATTGCCGTCAACCATTAAAAGGTTCATGAATCATGCAAACTTCAGTACTAGTTCTGTACATTCACAGTACGTGAATATAAACAACTTGTATGTTTATCAAGAATGAGGAACTGTCATTTAGGGAAGATGTTACACGATGTAATAATGCTTTTGGTTGTAATCGACTTTGTCAAATTTTGTATTCGGGGAACGACTGAAGATCGACACCAGTTTATACTGCAATGCCTATATTTCAAAGATTCTACTTAATTATCATATTTTATATACATGTATTTTCATCATTATTATTTTTAATAACCCATACATGAGTAAATGCAGTATGTTATTATCTTGTAAAAATAAGAACAACATTTCTTTGAATTGTACTGAGGTTACGATGAGAGGAACTCTTACCCCTCTGTAAAATCAACATACCCATCTGTCACTTTAAAACGAATGTTGTTGATTTATGTACATGTGCCTCTATATGATGTGTATACCGAATAAAGAAGATAAACGGCTTACAGCCAAATAGCCCGGTGATTTTCAAATCTGGAAGCTGAGGATAAAGTAAGAATGATGATTTATCTAGAAAATATCTTCTCCAACTTTGCATATTTTATTCCGATCGTATTCTGACCGTGCGTGAATACACTTGATGACAAGTATCATATATGAAACACGCATTATTCAAATTACAGGAGTATCTGAATAATGTATATCACTGTTTTGTATTCATCGTTGTAAGATATAAATGCTGAAGGATCTGTATTTTTTCAAACACTGACTTTTCTGTTTGGAGATATTACAGTCATGGATGGAGCAAGTTCGAACTGCTATCAGAAATGTGAGTCATCCCCAGAGACGACTGGTATCAACAATAGAGTTACGTCCCTTGACACTGTTTACATCCGGGCATTGAGTATCCAAAGCAATGGAGAAACAATCCAGGCGGCCATCTTTGTTGTCATAAACGCGAAGTCGTGGGTCGCCGCATCAAAAAACCGTCAAGATGAGCAACAGAGGGACGAATAGCATCCTAAGCGAAATAGAATGGGACGAAGGATTAAGTATGCCCGTCGCCAACGCCCCAAACAAGGTGTTGGAAGACCAGGTTAGTGTACAACATAATGTTTTGTTGGTTGTCATCAACGAAATCAGTCAAAAATGTTAAATGTATCTGATTTGCATCCACTCGTTTTCAAATTACGCATAAAAAATACCGATCGACAGAAATACAACAGTGAAAGCATAATGAGCATTGGAATACATGTGATAGTCGGTAGGGAGGCAGGGTGAGAATAAAGGATGAGATACAAAATATGTCGAAGACACCTAGGCCAGGTGGAAACTGTCCTATTTTCGATCAAGGGTGTACATGTATACAAAGCCAATCAAGGGGACCTACAGACCGTGTATTTATCAATACATAAGTGTTAATGTTTATGATTAAATAAACGGATTATATTTAGAACAAAATACTTTGTGTTTATGGGTTGTTTTTTTCTCATTTCGAGAATGTTTTATTGCAAAAGACAGATATTTTAGTACAGTCTACAGAGTATATTTGAGACAAGTAGATTTTGCCAAAGTATTTGAATGTCAACCTGTGAATAAAGAGTATAATCTTAATTTTGTTTTATTGTCAAATGTTATGCATAATCAAAATGGTCATTATCACAAACACTGATAAAACCCTGAGTTCTTTAACAAACCCAGCTGGGTCATTAGGAATATAGTCTGTTCTTCTGATTTGTTATAAATATGCAAATTCTTTTAAATGTTCTTGAGGAGTGTTCTGATACTAGTGGTGGTCCGATAAATTGAAATAATCGAAGATTGGTCGCAGTGACTAAACGACCAAGCAATCGATCATGTTTTCTCATAATCGAACACAAACAATTCTGGAACACTTGTTTTCATAAACAATATTTTTCACAAGGTCGGTTTTGTCTGTTACATTTCATAAGCACTACAAGCTCGTTTCAAGTCATGATTGAATTTATCTTAAAGACTCCAAGAAATTTATGTTCCTGACATACTAGTCATCCTCTAAAGATGTGAAATTTTGCCAAAAACACCCCAAAAGAACTACGTTTTTTCCTTATTTTTATGTGCATTAACAAATTTCATTAATGACGCTAACCAATTTTTTTCAATGATTGATCGGTTGTAATAAACCAATTATCAATTATGAGATTTTAAACCAATTCCCAACACTATCTGATACCATACTGTTCATCCATCCTCAATGTAAAACTAAACATCAAATCATCAAGACACAGCATCGTATTTCAAATAAAAATAGATTCCATTCCAATTTTCTTACAGTTCAGGTATTGATAGCAACAAAATTGAATGAGAGTAGTGCAAGAACTTTTTCAACAAAACAATTACATCCCTTCATTTTCATTTTGCTGCAAGAATGCACTATATAATTCTATGTGAGAATATTGCACAGCAACTAACAAGAGTAATTAGTGAAGTGTAATGAACAGTATGCCTGCAGTAAAAACCAAAAAAACACTATTAGGCGGATATAAAATATTTCACAAATATCTCCTAGGAGATATCATTTTGACAGTAGATTTTGTACAGTGCCCTGACAATGCTATGACGTCATGAACTTGATGACATCACAATGCTATGACATCGCTGCACTGCAGGTCTAATGGTAGTACCATGTTCAGAGATGTACATTTTTCATTGAAAAATGAAGAAGAGTGATTTTTTAAGATAAATAGAATCTCACTCTGGTGTTTCTGATATCAAATATATCAACGCTCGTTGATAAAAGTAAAAAATATCCTCGGCAAGCCTCAGGTGTTTGTAACTTTATCAACTCGTGGTGATATATTTGATATCAAAAGAGATTCTCTATTTATTCAATACTTTGTTTAATATCAAGAAATTAAAATAACAAACATGTCTTGTAATTCTCTATGTTAAAAGATTTCAACGATGTATTTTCCTGTAGAGGAAAAAAGCAATGCATCACAACAATGCTGCTTATAGCCTAATGACTGCACCATAAGGGTCCATGGCAAAATGACAAAAATTACACTATTGAATGGCCTGTTTATATTCCATTTTGCATATCTCACTTTGATAAATAACAGTCAAGCTCCAAGGAAAAACACTCTTTTAAAAATATTTGTAAATATTCAATTCTAGTGATCATGAATAGCAAATTGAATTCATGAAGGAATATGGTTCCATTCACTGCTGTATGTGTAAGTCAAATGTGAACAGTACTAATGCACTGTAACCACCTTTTTAACATTTTGACAATATAATTAAATATTCAAGATGTTAGAATTCATATCTTGGAAAAGTTAAATACTCTTAATGCAAAGTAATATATATCCTCTTCAATGTATGTAAAGTTTTGTGCAACCCAACAGAAGCCTTGGAAATTTATTAGGGGTGGGTATTGCAAGGAATTTTCATATTGCGATAAATTGCGATGCGAAAGCATGTATTGCGATATGTATTGCAATATATTGCAAGAAGTTTTATTTAACAAAAAATACGTATAATCGAGTTAATGCTTGATTTATAAAGTAAAAACACAACAAAATCACAATGCTTGATTAGGCGTTAATAAAAACTTTTAATCATGACAAAATAAAAATGTAAATAATGTTTGGCACAAATGAAACAAGGAAAGGAACAATTTAAAAAACGGAAATGTTACGAAGTTTTCCGAATGCATGTCAAAATAACCGGTTTTTGATCAGCCCGACATTTTGTTATCAAGTAATATTGGTCGTTATCGTTTTCATGTCTGAACCGGTAAACCGGTTATATTGCGCAGCCCTAAAATTTATTGCCATTTTGTTTCAAGTAATGTATTGGTCAGTTGTTGTACTAATCACATATCTTATAATGGCTATATATCCATCCTCTGCTATTTTCCAAAGGTACAATCAAAACAAAGAGTGATAGTTACTCACAAAGAGGACTTAGAAGAAACAGACGATCGTATACATGCTATGACAGAGCATCTGAAGAATGTTCGCCAAGAGCTACAACACACACAGAGTCTAGTGAATGCCCGGAAGCACGAGACTCAGACTGAGAGTCACCTGTTGAAGATTGCACAGAGAGAAGATGGTCGACTACAACAAGAAATCAATAAGCTGGACAAGGAGCTGGAGGAACTCAAGGAGAAGAAAAACATATATGAGGTAAGACAGGTTTTCATAGACTTGAGAAATGGGCTTTTTATGCAAGAGGAAGACGGTTTGCTATGACAAGAGAAAAGTGGGGATTTTTTAGGTTTTCTTAGACTTGACAGATGGAAGAGGCAAGGGAACTTGTTTTGCTGACAAAGAGTGGGGGTTTTAGGCAGGAGAAAGAGGGGAACTTGTTTAGCTAAGAGGGGAAAATTCTTTTTCTTCAATTTCTTCAACAAGAGAAAAGCGGGACCTTTTAGACAGGAGGTAATTGGAATGTTTTTATGCAAGAGGAAGAGGGGTCCTTATTTATGCAAGAGGAAGATTGGTACTTGTGAAGACAAGAGGAAGAGAGGGATTCTTCAGACTTTTGGGGGGAAGAGAAAAGGCAGATTTTTTTAGGCACTAGGAAAAGTGTTTAACATCCAAGCCACATGGGGATTTCTGGTTAGAGACATTTTCAAGCAAAGTAGTTTACTTCCATGAGCTGACTGAATGGATCAGGTGGGCAGGCTTGGTGATTTGGTTGATGGCATCATTTCATCAGTCACTGGATTGTCTGGCCCAGACATCCACCATATAGCTGGAATTTGCTGGATGCAGATTTAAACATCCAACATGAAAGTATTGAAACTTGACCCGGTGAAACCATATCTCATTGCTAACTGTCATCATCTTCTCCGCAGAATAACATCTTCCGGCAGACCCAGAAGTTGGAGGAGATGAAGTCCCAGATGAACTGGGACCAGCAGGCGCTGGAGGCGTGGCTGGAGGAGTCGGCCAGGAAGGATGAGGATGCCATGACGCTCCAGAAGTACACACGCCAGGATGAGAGCAAGATCAAGGTATGGACCCACTACAGAGATTTATGTCTGATCTTCAAACATATATATGTAAAAAGATATAACTCAGCTTTGTTTGGGGTAAGTGTGTCAATATGTCCATCTTTCTTTCCAGGAGCTGTCTCTACGCATGGAGAAGCTGACTGACGAGGCTGCTAAGAAGCGTCATCAGCTGGATCATGAGATGACAGAAACTCTGACTGCCCAGGTAAGACAACATTCAGGGCAAGTAGTAATTCGCAGTGAACAGAAAGTGAGGCACTTGGAAAATGCAGAATTTACTTGAAATTAGAAAAAATGTGTTAATGTGCTCAAGTCCATCTCCAAACACTATACATGTGATTCAAATTTTTGTGTGTTTTGTTATCTCATGTCTAAATATCCAGAAGACCTTAATTTGATTTTTGTGTCAGTTTGCAAAATATTTACAAAAGTTTTCTATGGAATTATTTCTTACATACAGTTTCCCTGAAGTTATCGTCAATTCATCAACAAATGTCAGTGTAGACATCAGATAATACAGTTTATCCACACTTGATGTTTAAATGACTTGCTTTATGAAACAGTTGTAGTTTTTGATCAGATGACAGCAAGTCCCTACTACTTGTGACTATTCAACTTGGAAACTAGTTTGTCCTGATAATACAGTGTAGCTAGTAGTCCTATCTATACGTTGTATTTGTTAGATTGAGCTGGACAAGACTGCTGAAGACTTCCGGAAGGCCCACGCTGAACGTCAGGAGCTGATCCAACAGTGGGAGTATACCATCGACCAGATGCAGCGGAGAGACAAGGAGATGGACCTGCTGGCTGCTGTAGGTTTACTCTCTCTCTCTCTCTCTCTCTCACACTCTCTCATTCTCTCATTCTTAACCAACAGCTAATGGGATCTGGTACATGAGGCTTGCTGAATTGTTTGATGAATGTCATCATATCCCAGCTGCAAGATCAGTGCTCATTATGTCAATCACTCATTTGACTGTGCAGATATGATTCACAGGCTTTAATCTCATAGCTGGAATATTTGTGAGTGAGATGTTAAACAGGAAACAAAATAAGATGCTCTAAAAGTCAAAACTAAAGCAATCCTCATTATGAGATAAAATGTATTTCGTCTTCTTAAATTTTCTTTTGCCTCCTCTAATATAATGTGCTCAGATGATTGGGTAGGGGTGAAATTCTTAAATCTTCTATATAAATAACAACATTGCTCCAATTTGTTTTCTTTATAAATTGAATTTCGTGAATCCTCTATATAAAACATCACTGCCTGATTGCCCTCCCAGCAACTGGCGCGAGTGAAGATTGAAGTGCGAAAACGTGAGGAGTCCATCAAAGAGAAGCAACAGTTTCTGGAGTACGAGATAGAGAATAACAAGGACCAAGAAGTGAAGATCTCTAGCGCTGAGCGGCAATCTGCAAAACAACGTCTTGACCTACAGGAAGCTGACACACAGCGAGTACAGTTTCAAGACGAGGTAGGATTTCAATATTTGGATTTCATGATTTGGTCACTGGGTTCACCTATCTTGCAGAAATCCTTGTGTGAATGTGTGCAAATGTAAACATGGCTTTGTTTCAAAAAGCTTAAAAATAGTGACTCCCATTCCAGTTCACCTGAGGTACTTGATCCTGTGGGGTAGCCTAGTGGTTAAAGCGTTGGCTCGTCGCGCCGAAGACCCGGGTTCGAATCCCCACATGGGTACAATGTGTGAAGACCATTTCTGGTGTCCCCCGCTGTGATGTTGCTGGAATATTGCTAAAAGCGGAGTAAAACCAAACTCAGTCAGTCAGTCCAGTTTACCTGTTGAGGCACTTGATCTTTTGTACAGCTCCTGTCACCCACGAGGGGATCTTAAGCAACTTCGGTAGGGTAGTGAGATGGATGACTGTTTTAGGCAGCTTGTCTCCATAGAATTTCAGGGGCTTTGGCCCTGGCCTATGTTATTCAAGGTCCTGTAGTGCTCTTTTTGTTGTCTTAGGCATGTGAATTTGTAGCTTCAGGTCACTCGGCAGTGAAAATGGGAAGGTGATATGGTAAAATGACTATTAACTTTCTAGTGCAGGCAGCCAGGGTTGCTGAGAAAGAAAATCCAATTATCCAAAGAATGGACTTTGGCACATTGCTAATGATCATTTTTTATCCCTATTGTTGTTGTGTTGCAGCTCGATGCCTTGAAGCGTACAGTTGATCGCACCAACACAGATCTGGAGGTGACAAGGTCACAAGTCAAACAGCTCAGAAAGGATGTGATCGAAAAAGCAGACAGGTATAATGCAAACTGAAATAGTGTTATAATGATTGGACATTGGTCATACCTTGTTGCATCTCTCTGGACTCTTAATATTTACCATTCTTGAACTGAGATGTAATTATAAAAGCCTGTGTTGAACCTTGCAGTATTTGGGTATAACCTCAGCAATATTCCAGCTATATGGTGGTCTGTAAATAATCGAATCTGGACCAGACAATCCAGTGATCAACAGCATGAGCATCGATCTGCGTAATTGGGAACTAATGACATGTGTCAACCAAGTCAGCGAGCCTGACCACCCAATCCCATTAGTCGCCTCTTGCGACAAGCATGGGTTACTGAAGATCAATATTCTAACCCGGACGTTCACAGGTCTATAAAGGGTGAAAGTTATGGGTGTCAACTTATGTAATGTGAGGGATGTGACAAGAGGAGTACATCCTTACTGATGAAGGAGCATGAATATACTCCGAAACATTGTGTGCCTTATATTACAGAAGTTGACATCTATAGGTTTTTACCCTTTTCTGGAGCATTTACCCTGACCCTAGCTCGATTTGAACACTACAATCCACCAAAGCCCTTATCCCTACGATGATCGTGAACCTATGTTAAAGTATGGGAGTTACGATCACCTTAGCACTACGATGATCGTGAACCTATGTTAAAGTATGGGAGTTACGATCACCTTAGCGCTACGATGATCGTGAACCTATGTTAAAGTATGGGAGTTACGATCACCTTAGCCCTACGATGATCGTGAACCTATGTTAAAGTATGGGAGTTACGATCACCTTAGCACTAACAAAGCTTTGTGCAAGTGGACCCAGCTACATTTTTCCATCCTTCCTGAATCCGTTTTTACCTATCAATGAATGTACTTACAGATTAGAAGAGGCTAAACTCCTCCGTGTGACCTTGGTGAAGAAGTTGAAGGTGGCGACGGAGTCGACGCTGACTGCTGAGGAGAGGGCAACTATGATGGGTAATCTCCTCACCGATGAGGAGGCTCGTCAAGAGGAAATCGAGCAGGAGCTCAAACAGCTGAGAGACATGCAGTTCCGTAAAGCTGAGGAGATGTACGCAAGTAAACGAGACGAGAAGAACACAGAAGCTGAGATACAGGTGAGATATATGTCTCAAGTCGTTACTTAACTGATACTGAATCACGACTGAAGTAACAGTAAGATATGTATCTGGAACTTATTTTTTAAGATAGAAATGGATCTGACACATATTGTGAGGAAATTAAGTGAGTGGATTTTTGGTAGTTATCATGAAATAAGGCTGTTTTCTCTGTTTGGAAGTCGCATTTGACTTCTTTTCAAGTAACAATTTTGTTCGATCAACTTAATGATAAACACTATGAATAATGTGTAATTCTGCTATGACATTAATGTTATAAGTAAGAATGTGCATGTATTGATTGCTAATGCTATTTACTATCTGACCTGGCCAAAATCTTGACTCTGGATATTTTCATAATTCATAACCTTGCAAACATTTACAAATAAATCAGAAAAGCCCAGAAAGGCAATGTATGCTTTCTGTGTTTGATATATTTAAGTACTTACTTATGAATTTTCAGGTCCCCTGTCGTGATATTGCTGGAATATTGCTAAAAGCGGTGTTAAACTAAACTCAGTCAGTCAGTATGAATTTTCAGTCTATGGTCTGAGAGTTTGTTGTGAAGTGAGAGTTATCTCCCTTTCATCATACTATTCATTGCATAATACCTGTTCTGTTTTTAGGGTAGTTATGCAGCCATGCGGAATTTGAATAGCAAAGTGAACAAACTGGATCACGATTCTCTGAAACAGCAAGAAATCATCTACAACCAGGTGGGTACTGTCATGATAAATTGTTCAGGGTCTAAAATTCTCCTTGGTGGAATGTTGTGCATGGTACAGTAATGTTGGATGTCAGAACTGGCCACTTTCAAGGTTTGTTTGTTTGTTTGTTTGTTTGTTTAATGCCACACTCAGCAAAATTCAAGCTACATGACGCAGTCTGTAAATAATCAAGTCTGGACCAACCAGTCCAGTGGTCGATGTCATGAGCAGTTGTGGAAAGATGAGATACATGAAATACCTCCGCAAGCCTGACCACCCAATACTTGCCTTTGTCGACAGGCATGGATTGCTGGAGAGCAAGCCATGCTGGATGTGTAAGGCAGCTACATGGTTCAGGGATGTGTAAGGCAGCTAAATGGTTCAGGGATGTGTAAGGCAGCTAAATGGTTCAGGGTATCAGGCTTGGGGTAGTTGTTCATGCATGTCATCGCACGATTTGGTGTGACGTTCATCGCAGTATCGACTAGTGTTGGGAATTGGTTAAAATCTCATAATTGATGATTGGTTCATTACAACCGATCAATCATTGAAAATAATTGGTTAGCGTCATTTATGAAATTTGTTAATGTACAAAAAAATAAGAAAAAACATGTAGTTCTTTGGGGTTTGGGGGCAAAATTTCACATCTTTAAAGGATGACTAGTATGTTAGGAACATAAATTTCTTAGAGTCTTTAAGATAAATTCAATCATGACTTGGAACGAGCTTGTAGTGCTTATGAAATGTAACAGACAAAACCAACCTAGTGAAAAATACTGTTAATGAAAACAAGTGTTCCAGAATTGTTTGTGTTCGATTATGAAAACATGATCGATTGCTTGGTCGTTTAGTCACTGCGACCAATCTTCGATTATTTCAATTAATCGGACCACCACCAGTATCGACCACTGATTTGTTTGGTCCAGGCTCAACAATTGTGTTGAACAGCAACAAGAAACAGCAGCCATCTGTTAACTCTTTGACTTTATGAAGATAGTCCTGTTACTGAACCCTGCATATGTTGCCAGGACTTTTCCATCCAACAACTGGAGCGTCGGATCAACCGGATGAGTGGAGAGAGGAGTAATGAGGAGAAGATTCAGCTGGAAGTGCGGATAGCGGAACTCACCAATGAGTTGGACAACAAGAACACCACCCACGTACTGCTGACAAGTCAGCTCAAGAGACTCCAGGTACCATAGCTAGCAGTTTGTCTACTCCACCATACGCAAAGGAGTATCACAAAAATAAGACACACATTGTCATTTACTGCTCATTATATTTTCATGAGTTATAAAATATCCAGTCATATGGACATCATATTTCTGCTCAAACCAGACTAAGTTCATAAGTAATTATTTTGCCTTATCCTGACTCATAGTAATTGCTATAGTGTATGAGTCAGGATAAATATAAACAATATTTAAATTTAAAAAATACATGGGTTTGATTTTAATGTGCAATGATGCAGGAAGTATGATTGTATTTTTATTGTTAGCGGACAAATGTGTGACTGTATGACTTGTACTGGTTGCAGGATGACATCCGGCGCGTGACAAGGGAGCTTGGGGAAAGCGGTCCGAGAAGTCGGATCTCACTAGCAAGATTGAGGAGCTCAATCTCTACAATGACAGCTCAGAGAGAGAGCTGAGGAAGATCATCTCTGCCAAACAGGTACGCTGTTTGAAAGTGTTGAAATTTATAATTCATAAATAGATTTAATTGAAGTAAAATACTCATGTATTCAGTCTGATGTCAGTGAAGATTCTTTCTCCCTTTATTGCAGTTATTGGAAGAATAAGGAGTTCTCCCTTTACATGCAAGTCTGGCTTTGATTTATAATTACTAGGAATCAGGGAGCATACATTTTGATGTAAACTTGAATAATAATGTTCATCATAATTTCCCCATTTAGTTTTGGATCACAGAATGACATGCAGTTGTCATAGATACGACTGTCTGTCTGAATCTGAAAGGAAGCATGTCAGGAACAGAATTTAAGGATTGTTCAAGATTGTTCAAGAATATGACATTTAAAATAATGATGCATTGAATTAAATAGAGATTATTAACCTCATGTGTTTCTGTATCATTAATATCATATATTAGGAATAAAAATTGTATTATGCGAGCCTTTGGTGAGCATTATACATAATTTTTATTCCTAATATATGATATAAATGATACGGAAACACACGAGGTTAATAATCTCTTTATCATATAATGTCATTCTTAAAATTACTCTAAAAATAGAAGCAAATCGTACGTGAATTTATATGAAGGAGAATCGAGCATTCACGTAAGAATACTTAGCGGTACACCAAGGTAAGATCGTTCATGACGGCGGCATATGGTTGTGACTAGTCGCTAATACAGTGCAAACATAACTCATGCTTAAAATCAGATCTTTCTAACTAAAAAGAACAACAAATCGGGCACGGTTTTCTTAGCTGTGTTTCTATTTTCATTGCGGGTAATCACCTCATCAATATCAGTTTCTGATACCTGACGGAATCGATTCGTCGTCTGTATTGTGATTGATAGATCGAAATCCTTGGTTGGTACCTTTCTTAGACGATCGCCTTTGACTCGTGCCCCATAATCCATACCTTCAATTTGAACAAAGTACTCCGTTTCATGTTTTCCAAAGTCAATTACTGCAGTAACGACTCAAGAACCTGTCATCAATTCTTACAGAATCACCAATTTTGAGAATGGGGGCAGCCAAGTTTGTTTACAAAGTAATCACGCAATGTAAACTCGCGACATCGTCATCAATGAAATGTTAACGTTTTAGGATTCACATGGCGTGTATGGAGTTTTGTGAAGTAATTCGTGGGTTGACGTAATTTGCATAGTTATCAGATTTAGATACCAGGTTTATCAGATTGCTTTATTGCACCAATAACACCCTCCATTAGATGATAATTAAATATAATAACTGTTCAAGAAGGTTGCTACAAATCATGTGTGGAGTGTTCTGGAGTATGCTGATCATACAACCATTGACGCTGGCTGTAGCACAGCCCCATGAACACTTGTAGCACTGTGCAAAAAGCTTGAACCTACAGTCCGTTTGAGTCAGAAACGGACCGTGCTGTGCCGTCTCCATCCTTTCTCTAACACCTGGCTGTCCCTTTCTCTGCACTCCTCCCTCGTAACAAATAGTGAACTGTGTCAAAATTTTAATGATAGTTTCTTAAAGAACTTTTTTGGTGGAGTCCGAACAATTTTCAAATATAAGAAAGCTGTTGGGTATGTGTAAAAGATAAACATGTGTACTATTTATATTTATGTGGCAATTTTGTACAATGATAAAATTTGCAATTCATCGGTCCGTTTCTGACTCAAACAGACTGTAGTTCCCATCATTATGGAGCAGAATTTAGTATGATTCAATAAGTATCCTTATCATTAGCTTAGGTTCACTTGACTGAACAGAATTTTACTGGAATCCTGTGGCTAAACTTGTGGCTATGAAGTCTAAGACTGGTCACTACACCAAGAGCATAAAATGATTGTAATTTAAGATCTCACACAAATATCATGAGCTTGCATTTCAAAAATTGTCACAATACGTCGTGTTTGGAAGACAGTTCCAAATACATTTGATTTTCTAGTATAACAACAGTTGACTAAATGTACCAGCCTGTCACACCGCCTCCGTCGTGTAGTGGTAAGAGCGTCCGCCCGGAGAGCGGAAGGTCGCGGGTTCGATCCCCGACTGCCAAAAAGACGTTAAAATATGGTACTTGTTGGCTCGGCATTAATGGGTACAACAAGGACTGGTCGGCTCGGAGTCAGTATACTGTGTCTGAGTGGGGTATTCATGCTTCACTGCGGCATGGTATCTCAGTGGGCTAGCACTATAAAACCAGCTTCAGTCTGGGCTAGTACAAGCAGCCGCACATACACATACACACGCATGCACGTCGTCATATGAGCGAAATATTCTCAAGCACGACGTTAAACCCAATTTCACCTCACCTCACCTCACTAGCCTGTCACTGTTGTTGTGTCATGCAGGATCTGATGGTGGACGAGAACCTGATGAAGCTTGAGACGAAACGTCTGAGGGATACACTCAGCAACAAGGCCGACAGTGTGCTCAGTCTGGAGAAGAGGAAGCTACAACTGGAGACAGTAAGTATTGTCGACATCATGACTGTGTTTGGTATCACGGCAATAGTGGTCAGCCATTTGACATTCTGGGGTGGGAAGGAATGACTTTTTGAGTTGCCAGGAAAACGGGTCATCTTTTTGGGGCTGATAAGTTCAGTTCTTTTAAGATGTTTGATCAGATTTGTTTTCGTTGAATTATTTATAAATATATTGTGTTTTCCCTTACCAAAAATAATAGGAGTGTTCTTCATTAATAATACTGACCCGTGAAGATCTGGGTTAGAATTAGAAGATAAAGTTACTCTGTGTTCAGTTTTGCTGTCCTTTATCATTGATTTAAGACCGCTAAATGTTATTTAAAAACTGAACACTTATGCTAGAATTGGTCTTCAGTAACTCATGCTTGTCGTAAGAGGCGACTAGCGTGATCAGGTGGTCAGGCTCATGACTTTTTTTCACACGTCATCGTATCACAGTTGCGTAGATCGATGTTCATGATATTGATCACTGGATTGTCTGGTCCTGACTCGATTATTGATAGATCACCGCCATATAGCTGGAATATTGCTGAGTATGGAGTAAAACTAAACTCACTCACTATGCTGCTAGTCAGCAATATAAAGTGTGATCCAGTATTTGTAGCCTACTAACCATATGTCCCCAGGCTATGAAGGAGAGACACCAGGAGGTCAACATCCACAAGGACATGTTAACAGCTCAGTTCCGCGAATTGCCGACGATGAGAGGCAGCAGATCAGTGCCGAGCTGCATGAGAGAATCTCAAAGATTGACAAACTCAGGAAGAGGTGAGTTGCCATTAAAAGCACAAGTCTCCAATCCTTTTAAACCTGTCTTAGAGGTGAGGTGAGGTGAAATTGGGTTTATCGTCATGCTTGAGAATATTTCGCTCATATGATGACGTGCATGCGTGTGTATGTGTATGTGCGGCTGCTTGTACTAGCCCAGACTGAAGCTGGTTTTATAGTGCTAGCCCACTGAGATACCATGCCGCAGTGAAGCATGAATACCCCACTCAGACACATTATACTGACTCCGAGCCGACCAGTCCTTGTTGTACCCATTAAAGCCGAGCACCAGGCAGGGACCAACAAGTACCATTTTAATCGAACGCAACCTTCCTCTCTCCGGGCGGACGCTCTAACCACTACATGACGGAGGCGGTTTACACCTGTCTTAGAAGTAACAATGATTTCTATGAAATATTTTGTGTGAGCATGTTTCATGGAAGCTGATATGATTTACTTGGTACTACTTTGTTTTAAGGTCTTAGTGGGATCCAGGATGGTTTAGAATGTACAATATGGCTGACTGTGTCATCTTACCCTCACAGCACCGATTGTCATGCATTCATCTGATTGTCTGATTGAGAAATGATAATTTGCAACATAGTTCCATCAGACGAGATTGCTTTTACTGGCATAATAACAGATTTAAGATTCTTAATCCAGGACCGCTCCTCCGCGGTGTAGTGGTTAGAGCGCCCGCCCGAGAGCGGAAGGTCGAGGGGTTCGATCCCGACCGCGTCATACCAAAAAGACGTTCAAATATGGTACTTGTTGGTCCCTGTCTGGCACTCGGCATTAATGGGTACAACAAGGACTGGTCAGCCTCGAGTCAGTATAATGTGTCTGAATGGGGTATTCATGCTTCACTGCGCATGGTATCTCAGTGGGCTAGCACTATAAAACCAGCTTAAGTCTGGGCTAGTACAAGCAGCTGCACATACACATACACACGCATGCACGCCGTCATATGAGCCAAATATTCTCAAGCACCTAACGCTAAACCTAATTTCACCTCACCTCACCTTAATCCAGAGAGGCCATTGTTGGCATGGTTATCAAGGGCAGTGCATTTTGTTGTGCAGAGTTGCTGATTCAATCCAAGAGTCATCATGATCGGATTATCAGTACCATGGTGTTCGCGTGACATCATTCTCACATTCCATGATACATGATAGAACTGCAATACTGTTCAAAGCAGTGTTGGAGCAGTGGGGTTTACCGAAGGCAATAGATTGATTGGTACAAATGGGTACAATGTGCGAAGCCCATTTGTGGTGTCCCCGCCATGATATTGCTGGATTCTTTTTCAGAAGAAGTCCTCCTTGGGGTAACTTATAAGCATTAAAATGTCCATTTTGAAACCTACGACAGTTGTAACTATATTTCAATAAAAATATTTACAAAAACGAAAACACGTTCTGGGCGTTATGAGACCATTCTACAGGGCCCCAGCGGGGCCCCCCACCGCAAGAGCAGGTAACTCTAGCCGACAACCTTGCACCTCACTTTTCATGCTGTCGTCTCAGAAGACAGACGCATCGCGTAGTTCATTGTGAAAAGGAAATCAAAATGAGTGTTACAGAATCAACTAATGTATGTATGGTTCCTCTTTTCTCTCGCGACGGGCTTTAGTGGAATTGTAGGTTGATTTTTCATTCATGATTGTTGTAACTTAGTCGGACAGGCTCCATTTTCCAGCCATGCGTGGCAGGCAAGATGGCGGTCGGTTTGGCTTTCCTTCTGTCCCACGGTTGTAACTTTTTAAGTTACATCGCTAGGGGAGGGTAATTTCTTGTTATTACTATGGTAGTAGGTTTGCCTAATGTTTACACTTTCAGCAAAAGGTGAGTTGGGGTAAGTTTTTTCATATAACATTTACGCTATATATATGTTACGCAGGAAGCTTGCATTTTCACCCTTGTTCATGATATGTTAAAGGGTAAACCTGCCTTAGCTTTTCACATAGGGTTTTTATAGCCCATGCATGTATTATATTTTACGTGTGTTGCATATATGTGTGTTTTTAGACTGTACATCAGTTTCCATGATAAATGGTTCTGTTTGTTACAGTTTCACCCGTCGCGTGGCATAATGCGGCAATGTTGCCACCTCAGGATTCGCGACGATGTGTGCCTACGTTGTTTGGCTGTTGAACATCATGATGATCAATCGTGTGAGAACTGCCAGATTTTCTCACCAAAGGCGATTTGCGTCGTTCCGCAGACTTTTGTTTTATACAAATCTGCTGCAGGCGGGGACTTATGGGCACAGGACCCACCATCTAAAGTGGCTAAAAGTAAGAAGAGTTCTTCTTCTTCTGGCGGGGGGTAAAGCGGGCCAAGACGGCGGTTAAACCTTCTTCCCTATCCCTCCACTTCCACCACTCAATCAGAATCTGCACCCATATGTATTAATGATTTAACATCCATATTGCAGCAACAGATGACTTCGGTTAAGCTCGCTGATCTCGGACGCGATGTCGGTCTCCGTGAGGAGATCGGCTTCCGTTCGGGAGTTAGCGGTGCTCCGAGGTCGTCTGTCGGGGTTCCCCTGCCTCGGGCTCCGGTCGGGGCGGGTTCTACCCCGGAGGGGTCGTTACCTTGAGCCTTGGCTCTGGTGACCCTCTGCTGGTGCGCCTGTGGCTGGCCCGAAGCCGGCTCCGGCTCAGCGCAGAGTACTAGCTGTGTTGGATACGGGTCTCGCACCGTTTGCTACCAACTCACTGGCGGGTTTCGGCGCCCGGTGCTACGTCGGTCGACTCGGGGCCTTACGCCGGGGAATCCTGTCTCCGGCAGGCTTTTCCCTGGGTCCTCTGGCAGCCTGGCTCAACCTCGAGCCTAGGGTCCGGTCGGGCCAGGCGCCTTGGCTCTTATGGCTCCCCTATCTTTGTCTGTGGAACCGACTTCGCGTGCTCTCGGAGGCTGACTCTGGATACCGGGAGTTACGTTTGCCAGGGAGCGGGAGGAGGAAGCCATGGATGACGGCCCGGGGGGGCATGAGACGTCGGGGAAGGTTCCTTCGCGCTTGGTCCGTCCCTGCGGCAAGTAAGGGAACACATTGCGTCCATTTTGCCGCGGGTGGTCGTGCCTTCAGGACGACCCGACCAGCGGAGTTTCGTCTCCGGGAGGCGCTTGCTCTCGATGTCGGTCGCCGAGGCCCACTTGCGAATTTTACCGTCACTGATCAGTGAGGTTATTAACCCTCTCCTCTCAGGAGGCCGGTCACGCTTCATCTTCCGAGCTGAACCGGCGCTTACCTGATGGGAGAGAGGGGCTTATGACCCCGGTGGTAGGCGAGTGTATTTATGCCTCAGTCAGCCCTGGGAGAGGTCATCTGGCCATAGCCACAGCGCCGCTTGTCAGGGTCGGCATTCGCCTCCTTTACTTCTAACAACCAGGTGTTGAAGTCGGTCTATCGTTCCTTTGAGGAACAATACCGTGCGCCGTTCAACACCTTAAGGTTTCAGTCCACTCAGCATACCTCTCGCCCTGCAGAGGAAGCTGGTGGACCCGGAGAAGCGCGGACGACGACAGGTCGCCGGTCCCGCGTTAGCAGGAGGCAGCTCACGGAGGTGCATTCACATCTGGCACCGCGGCCATTCGATTCGCGGCGCTAGCCAGATGATGTCTGCGATCATTGGCCTCCGTCGGTTGTGGCTGTCTGTGTCCAGATACTCACCGGCTACACAGCAGAAGCTATTGTCTTTGCCGTTCAGGATGGGCTCAACCCTGTTCCGGGGGGCATTGACAGTGGTCAGGGGAGGCAGCGAGGCGGTTAGCCAGTTTAAGGACTCTAAGCCCTTACTGGAACAACCCCTCACTGCGCCAAGCTGGCGCCTTCCTATGCTCCTCAGCGGCCTCAGCTTACTCCTTCCTCTTCAGGAAAGGAATGCGACCAGGCCCGGGATTAGTGGACGGCGCCACTTCAGGCACGTAGAGGCGCAGTGGTTAGGGCAACGGGTAGAGGTAGCAAGGCTGCCGCCTCTCAGCAGCATTTTCAGAGGAAGGGGAAGCATTATCCCAGAGTCCTATCGCAGAGCTAGCCACCCAACCAGCGACTACTTGTGCTTCTTGCACCTCTGTGAGTCGATCTCAGCGCTGGTTCCGGTAATACTCAGATCGCTAGTACAGCCTCCGGTGCTGTTACCGATCGCGACCGGACCTCCTATCCCAGGAAGGCCAGCCACACCCGGATCCATGGATCCAGTGGGTGGCTTGGCCATTGTCAGAAGTCGCCTCCGTCGCGGCGAATTCCTGCACCAGTTGCAGACACAATTCTGGCTTGGCGGAGGGATTACGACTAACTTACAGTATGAGGATAGATGGGCCTGTTATCTTGGCAGCTGGTGTGGAAACAGAGGGATACTTGATCCCTTTTCTTCGACTGTAGTCGAAGTTTGGAGTTTTACAGTCTCGGTTAGAAGCCGGCCTAGCGGCGTCTACTATCGAGGCTACTCCACAACTATTTCAGCTTTCCACATTCCTACGAGGGGTGCCCTTTTAGGACAACACCCTCTGGTTCAGCGTTTCTTAGCAGGTGTGGACAGAGTCGTCCGGTCGTCCGTCGGACCAGTCCACCATGGGATCTGTCCATCGCTTTTAGATTGGCTATCTAGTCCTTTCTTCTACGATAGGTCGGGATTGTCGCTTCAACTGTTAAGTTGGAAAGCGGCATTTTTGGTGGCCATTACTTTCAGGTAGGCGGGTTGGGAGACATTCATGCTATGTCTTCAGACCGGAGCTTACCGTTTTTCATAAGGATAGGGTAAGTATTCGTTTTACCTGATTCCTACCGCCTAAAAATCGATAAAGCGTTTCATGTCACAGCTCCCTATTGATTTACCTGCCTTTACGCTTCCTGCTTCGTCTGGTGGCGCCAAAGCGCATGAAGTACATGTGTTGGATGTACGTGATAAGACACTTAAGACGTATGTCAAGAGAACACAGTCAATCCAGAAGATAAGCAGTTATTCTGCTGTTACGGGTGGTGAAAAGTAGGTCACCCAGTTACCACACAGACCATATCGAGGTGGATCGTGGTCGGCAATATGTATGGGTTACATATACACAAGGGTATGACTCCCCAGAGGGTTTAAAGGCTCATTCGGTTCAAGCAGTTGCCACGCCCAAAGCATCGCGGCTGCTCTGCCCATTGAGGAGATATGCTCTGCGGCTATTTGGAGCCGACCGAATGCGTTCATTAAGCCATTATCAGCTGGACAAACATTCGCGTGGCGTGCTTTCGGTTTGGCCAGGCGATTCTCCACAGTGGACAGAGTATGCGCCTCAGGCCGAGTAAGCCTTGGGGCTGATTTACTCATTGTTTTATACTGGTGTCGGGTATATTCTCCCTATTTTGCACTGGTGAAGGTATGTGGTGGCGGTTTTTATTTCCGTTCTTTTGGTATCGGTGCCTTTGGCTTCTATTTTCCATTTTCCCCGCTTGGCTGGCGGTGTGCTATGGACAGTAGTTTGTTTTGGCGAGTCCCTAGTTTTTACTCACTTCCACCAATCAGGATGGGAGGTGTAGTTTTATCTTGGGGGTGTGTACCGATTGACCAATGGGCACTAAGCTTTGACCTCCCAGGGTCCCTCGCCTTAGTCGCGCCCCGCCTTGATTGACATTGGCGGACACGTGACTGGGTAAGTGTGATTTCTATTTTCATAACGGCTGTACTACGTTACTGCGTTCGGACCAGTGTGTGTCAGACAGAATGCCACTCCCGGTTTTCTGATCTTTGGGAGTCTGTTTTATGCTTATAAGTACCCCAAGGAGGACTTCTTCTGAAAAGAATTATACAAACCTGTAGAGGTTATGAATTCTTTGAAGGAAGTCCTCCTTGGGTCTACCGCCCTCCCTCATTCTGTCTGATCCGTTCAGCATGAAAAGTGAGGTCGCGAGGTTGTCGGCTAGAGTTACCTGCTCTTGCGGTAGGGGGCCGCGGGCCCTGTAGAGTGGTCTCATAAGCAGAAGCGTGTTTTTCGTTTTGTAAATATATTTTATTGAAATATAGTTACAACTGTCAGTAGGTTTTCAAAATGGACATTTTAATGCTTATAAGTACCCCAAGGAGGACTTTCTTCAAAGAATTCATAACCTCTACAGGTTTGTATAAATATTGCTAAAAGTGGCGTAAACCATGCCACTCACTCACTCCTCACTCGCTCACTCACTCACTCACTCACTCACTCTGAAGCCCATTTCTGGTGTCCCCCGCCGTGATGTTGCTGGAATCTTGCTAAAAGCGCTGAAAACCAAACTCACTCACTCACTCACTCACTCACTCACTCACTCACTCACTCACTCACTCACTCACTCACTCACTCACTCACTCACTCACTCACTCACTCACTCACTCACTCACTCACTCACTCACTCACTCTAATCTGTGTAATGTCTGTCTTCAGGTACGAGATCCTGATGGTGTCCATGGCTCCACCAGAAGGGGAGGAGGAGAGATCACAAGCCTACTATGTCATCAAGGTAAAAACAATGTCTTGAAATTCACCTGAAATCTTCACTTGAAGCTTTGACGGCTGCCAGTTGTGCAGGCAAGCCAGCAATTATGTCAAACCCTGAGTAGGCTGATGAATTTCTTCTGTCCTGAAGACTGTCAGCTAAATTGACCTCTGGGGTTCGCTTCTTTTCAACTTTATCAAAAGCTAAGTGAAGCTCTGTATTAAATCCTGATCCTGCCTAAGCCCTGTTGAGTGTCTGGGTTTTAATTTGTTCTATGAAACTTGTTCTTATCATAAGAGGGGCGGTGGGGTAGCCTAGTGGTTAAAGCGTTGGCTCGCCACGCCGAAGACCCGGGTTGGAATCCCCACATGGGTACATTGTGTGAAGCCCATTTCTGGTGTCCCCCGCCGTGATGTTGCTGGAATATTGCTAAAAGCGGCGTAAAACCAAACTCAGTCAGTCAGTCAGTCTTATCATAAGATGCTGACATATTGGATCAGTGCTTCGGCTCTTTGACTTGGTTGATTGGGTGTCTTCATGCCAAGGCAGATCGTTGCTCATGACATCAATCACTGGTTTGTCTGGTCCATACCCGATTATTTGAATCATTTTGCTGGGATATCATTGAATCTGGCATTAAACAAAAAACAACAATTCTAACGGTAGTGTTTGTCCCCAGGCTGCCCAGGACAAGGAAGAGTTGCAGCGAGAGGGCGATGAGCTTGATGCACAAATCAGGAAGGCCGAGAAAGAGATCCGAGCTCTAGAGAACACTCTCAAACTGATGAACAGCCGGAACGAAACATACAGGAAGAGCTTCAACAAGATCACAGAGACAAGTGAGTGCTTTAGTACGGCGACAAATGTATTGAAGAGATTCAGTAAAGCATTTTTGAAATTATGTGAAATATTTTTGTACTGAAGAATGTGTGATGCAGGTGATGCTGTACTGAAGTATGTGTGGCGTAGTTGATGTTGTATTGAAATATCAGTGCTACAGGTGAGTGAATATGGCTTTACTTCTCTTTAAGCAATATTCCAGCAATATCACGGCAGGAGACACCAGAAATGGGCTTCACTCATTGTACCCGTGTGGCAAATCGAACCCGAGTCATCAGCACAAAGAACGAACACTTGAACCACTAGGCTACCCCAGCTGGTGATGTGACCGCCTCCGTGGTGTAGTGGTTAGAGCGTCCGCCCGGAGAGCGGAAGGTCGCGGGTTCAATCCCCGACCGCGTCATACCAAAAAGACGTTAAAAATGTTGGTCCCTGCCTGGCGTTCGGCATTAATGGGTACAACAAGGACTGGTCGACTCGGAATCAGTATAATGTGTCTGAGAGGGGTATTCATGCTTCACTGCGTTATGGTATCTCAGTGGGCTAGCACTATAAAAAAAAACAGCTTAAGTCTGGGCTAGTACAAGCAGCCGCACATACACATACACACGCATGCATGTCGTCATATGAGCAAAATATTTTCAAGCACGGCGTTAAACCAAATGTCACCTCACCTCACCTGGTGATGTTGTTGTGCAGTGTATGTGTTGTTGATATTGTAATCAAGTAGAGGCGGTGGGGTAGCCTAGTGGTTAAAGTGTCCACTCTTTGCACTGAAGACCCGAGTTTGATTCCCCACTTAAATTACATTTGTGACATCATTCCATTGTCTGCTCGCTCCATTCCTCCATTCCTGAAAAGTCAAATTAAAGCCTTCGAGCATTTTGACATTTACTTTTGATAACAGATATGATACTTTGAATGTAATTCAGTTTCAAATTACTTTTGATAGCATGTGTCCATTTATTCCCAAATCACTAGGTATGTTATTTAAGTAGGGTACCCAATATGCCTCGTAATATCCTCGTAACTTTTTTCTCCATTCCTGCTGGGTGAAAATAATGTGCCTCACTTGCCCCTGAGACCACATGTGTCACATGTGCTGAGTGCAGGACTCAGTCCTAGAAACTCTCGGACATTACAGGGTCTACATATTAACTTCACCGATTTGTGAAGGTTACAACATATGTCATGCATTTCAGGATCAAATAAACCTAAACCCTTTGGACTTTTCACTTCAAGCGAGGGCAGGGGGGTAGTCTAGTGGTTAAAGCGTTTGCTCATCACACAGAAGACCCGGGTTCGATTCCCCACATGGGTACAATGTGAGAAGCCCATTTCTGATGTCCCCTACAGTGATATTGCTGGAACATTGCTAAAAGTGGCATATAACCATGCTCACTCACTCACTCACTCACTCACTCACTCACTCACTCACTCACTCACTCACTCACTCACTCACTCACTCTCTCTCTCTGTAATCAGGTATATGTGTATGGGTGATGTTGTAATGAAGTGAATGTGCTGCAGGTGATGAGATGGAGGAGAAGCAGCAGCTGGAGGAGCAGATGCGGGCTGTGATGGACAAGTACAAGTACAAGAGGAGGCAGATCCGGGAGCTCCAGGACGACCTACAGGTAGGGGAGACTACTCTGGCTTATTTTCCATGTTGCCACTATTCATGTATTTCAAAGGTTTTCAGTCATCAAAATGATCCTTTATTCAGAGGTTTCAGATGTAATTGCTCTTTGAGGATTCTGAATCAGAATAGGGCCTCAGTAATGCTTGTGTTCAGAACTGACTTAAATGGCATTAGGAAGTTTCACAGGGTAGATAAATGTGTGTCATTATACTTTTATAGCGTGAATGTTTGTTCATGCTGTCAGTCATTGGTTTGCATGACCAGATTTTATATAGGTAACTGTGATCTAGCTGGAACATTGCTTCAGCATTTAACAACATTCATTCACAATCAAAATGTCCAGATTCATGTACTGCACATAAGCAACAAAGTCCCCTACACAATATCTGATGCATTGATATGTGCAGGTATACATCAAAATGACTGGATGATTCTGTTGATTTCCAGACAATGAGCAACACTCTGGACAATCTTGCACGAGATGAAGATGCATATGTTGATATGATTGAGGACAAGAAGGTAGATACTACATGCTTTTTATACTGAATTATTGTTTTGACCCGATGACAACCACAAACCCCACACCCACAACCCCAAACCAACCCCATGACAACCCCATGACAACCCCATGCTTAGCCCACGCCCATGCCCCAAAACCAACCCATGCTAATCCCATGCCTACGCCCACACCCAAAACCAAGAAACAATCCACAACCCAAACCAAAAACCCACATCCCACATCCCAAACCCAAAACCCCAAACCCCCAAACCCCCAACCCCTCCTTTTTTGTTAAAAGTCTGTGATCCACCATTGACTTTTATTGATGTTGTGAGTCTCTAAAAGTTGTCAGTGTATTTAATGCAGAAATCATTATTTTGTTAACAAATGCAAATTCATTTGTTTTCAGAATAGAATTCTCCAACTGACCAAAGACCTTGAAGTCCAGAGAACAAAACTGGAGAGAGTTTCAAAACAGGCATGTATATCCTCAAAATGACTCTGTTACAGATTAGATAAGTAAAAAAATCCAACTGCGTAGAAGTGTGTATGGTACATGCTGTCTTAATCATGTTTCATCCAAAAGAATTAAATGTTAAACATGATTATATCCTCTGTGTTATAAAGCCTATCGATTCTACACATGGGTACAATTTGTGAAGCCCATTTCTGGTGTCCCCACCATTGATATTGCTGGGATATTGCTAAAAGCTGGCGTAAAACTAAACTCACTATATCCTCTGTATTATAACGTTTAAGAGACACCCTTTCACACATTATATATCTAAATGACAAACACAAACTTGAACTTCAAATTGACAATACTAATGAAATCCATTAAAATACGTAGGTCAAATTACACTGAACATGGAACTTACTGATGTGATGTGTAGAAGAAGACAAGCTGAAAGGTTGCTGACATACTGTGTTGGTACTGCACTTATTGTGGTAAATGTTTTTCTTCGTATTCCAGAATGCCAAATATGCAAGAGAGGTCCGTTCTGCCAAAAAGAGCAAGGGTGAAACCCCAGAAGAGGTAAGCTTTCTCTTTGGGAGTTATTCAAGTATTCCTACAAATCTGCTCTATCTTGTCTCGGGATGATGTTTTGCCTTCTGTCATTTTCCTGATTGCTTTATTTTTCATTTTTGAATGTTTGAAAGCTGTTGAATCATGTCTAGCTAGTTCTTGTGTTGTTGTTCCAGCGTGACTTTGAAGTCCGTGAGATGCGTGAATTCAACAAGAATGTTATGAAGGGTGTCTCAGATGTTGTACAGGTCCACTCGGAGCTGAATGAAGCTGTCAACATGTACTTCTCTCAGGTCAGTAGCCAATCTGGCAGGTTATCATGTGACGCCCTTACATCAGTAGGCCCTAAAACACTTTGTCCAGTCAATACAGGCCATCACAAACTTTGTCCTGTGTTTTCCAATCATAAGCCATCAGAGACCTATAAAGCACACAGGTCAGTAGCCCATCAGAGAGTGATAAAACACTTCCAGATTAGTAGCCCATCAGAGCATGATAAAACATTTTTAGATTAGTAGCCCATGAGAGAGTAATAAACTACTTCCAGATTAGTAGCCCATCCTGGAGTTACAAAACACTTTCAGATTAGTAGCCGATCAGAGAGTTACAAAACACTTTCAGATTAGTAGCCGATCAGAGAGTGATGAAACACTTTCAGATTAGTACTAGTAGCCCATCAGAGCATGATGAAACATTTTTAGATTAGTAGCCCATGAGAGAGTAATAAACTACTTCAAGATTAGTAGCCCATCCTAGAGTTACAAAACACTTCAAAATTAGTAGCTGATCAGAGAGTTACAAAACACTTTCAGATTAGTAGCCCATCAGAGAGTGATAAAACACTTTCAGTAGCCCATCAGATAGATTGTGATGTAACACATGTAACTCTGTATCCAGGCTAACCTGCCACCCCCTACACCAAGCGGCCACCGTCCAGGCAGTTCTCGCAGCAGCCTGTCCTCAGCCCGCAGCTCTGTGTCCAGCATCAAGAGCATCCAGTCAACCCGCAGCAGACCTGCCTCCATACAGATCGGGGCGGACTTTGAAGGTCAGTGTCCAGGGTTTCCAGGGTTTCTGTAAAATGCATTAAAAGTACACACTGTGCACACTGTATGTGCCCGACCCCCATGTAACACCCTCAGATCATATCTTAGACTAACCGGGGGGTAGCTTTATGCCTTAAAAAATTTATAATCCATGTTTTCTGAAGACCGGGTTGGTTATCCCCATATGGGTACAATCATGAAGCCCATTACTGGTGCATGGTGGAATATTGCTAAATAGTTAACCAAACTCAGTAAGTGACACTAACCTGGAAGTATTCTTTATGCCTTTAAAAATTTATAATCCATGTTTTCTGTGCATATTGGCTGTGATATTGGTTGTTATATTGCTAAATAGTTATCATAAGGTCATGTGGCTATCATGTAGTTATCATCAGGTTATCATGTGGCTATCATGTAACTACCATAAGATTATCATATAGCTGTCATGTGGTTAACATGTTGTTATCATGTGGTTATCCTGTAGTTATCATGTGTGGTAATGTTGTTACATGGTTATCATGTGGTTATCCTCCTGCCCAGGTCCTGGATCTCCAGGCAGTGCCCGCAGCGGCAGCTCCATCGCCAGTGTACGCAGCGACCGCAGCCGTACCAGCGTCACCGGCCCCAAGTAACAGACCACCTGCATTCCCTCCAGCCATCTGTGATATGTCTTTCAGAAGATCTTTTAATATAGTACTTATACTTAAGTTTATTTCATTGAAGGAACATTCCAATTTATTCTGTTTTTAAATCATTACTTGTGTAATAGGAGGATTCAAGAGTTCTCAAAATTAATGCTTAGAATTTAAGTACGTTTATCCTCCTGAGGAGAAAAATGAAGATTACCTCTTGCAGGGAACATATTCATTTACTTGTATTTTTATGTCAAGTACAAAAGTTCATCACCTGTAAGCCAGGTGTTTTAAGCTTTCACTTGTTTCCTTTTTGTTTTTCTTCTTTATTAATGAAATATCACCCAATGCTTTTTCTCACAGCATGACTGGGCTTGTTTCACAATACTGGATAGATGAGGCCAGACTTGATGCTGGATACTCTTTTAGCAAGTGATTGTATTGTCTCGTGTGGAAATGAGATGTTTCAAACTGAAAAGTATTTATTGTACATTCATATTTGTCTTACCATTGTAAATAATATTAAGTGTGTATTTATACAAATGTATAGAAAAGCTTGTCCAGCATGAATTGTGAATCACACATTAAATAATGTAAAAGTGGAAATTTGTGTTGTTTTCATTAACTGATGTTATTCTCCAGTTTTACACATTGACATTTGCGCTCCACCGTTTGTAACGGACCTTCTCAGGTAGGTTTTAGTAATGAGAAGGTTTTAGTAATGAGGAGGCAAGAAAAAGCCAGAAGCACTCATAAAATGGCGAGTATTTCACTTCATGGAATCCATGTTTCCGTGTGGTTGTGATTTGCAGAACACATCAGGTTTTGTCCTGAACCATGGCCCTAATCATATAGGACTCACATCAGGTTATTCCCACTATTTCAGATATACATTTCACTTTCCATTAACATGTTTCCGGCGGGACTCTCTCCCTTTGACTGAAATATACGTCGAACTTAAAAATATGCAACGAAACCAGGTTATTTACAAGGTAAATTGTAATAAAACGTAAAGTGTAATAACCCTTGACACAAATTGTAATAAATATGTAGATTGTAATAAAATTGACGTAAATTGTAATAATTTTAGTTGCGGTAAAATGTAATAAATATTTACGTAAATTGTAATAACAGTTTTAATCATTAGTAAAGGCGCCTGAGTTCGTTTTTTCGTTGATTTTCATAAATTCTATAAGCTTGTTAGGGCCATAACTCTAGAAATGATTGATTTTGTTCAAATATGGTACCAAGGTGTGGCGAGATTCACTGACACCAGTTGAATTTAGTGATCTTGAGATAATTTGCAATTTGATCCAATTTTATATCAAGGTGTATTGGCGGGATTCCCCTACACCAGTTGATTGTGGAACTTATTTTGAGTTCACAGCGAAAATTGTATTGTTTTGCACATGTCTAAGTTTTTTAGTGCGAAACACAGAAAGAATTAGTGTATTCTGCTTAAAAGCAGTGTCCCGGGCTGTTTCAAGGTTTGTTTGGGATATCTGTCTCTTCAAACACAGAAGTCCATCAGTGGGTCCACAACACTTTATTCGTCAGCTGAGTATGTAATTACATGATAGTGCAGCAACGGCCAGGCGGCATCACAGAGACGAGCGTCAATACCTGCCTAGCCGCTGTCTGACGGTCAAGTCCCCTTACATTAAGAATTCATTGTCTATACTATACCGACTGTCAGGCTGTCCTGTATCGTATTACGATACATGTATGGTCAACCTGCAGTATCCAGCATGCACCTCATCTACAATGTTAAACTTCCGTGGCCAGCCGGCCATACTCTAAGGTTAATTAGGGTTAATTACACGCAGGCAGCTGATCTGTACATGGCTGTGCTGATGGTCATGATAATAAGCTGCTGATATTTCATGTATATCGTCAGCACTCTGATTTAGATTTAGATAACACAACTTTAACTTAACTTAGAGAATATACAAACATGTCTATATTTCCCGATAAAACTCACACCCCGCCAAAGCCCTACGATAGTAGTAGGCCTACCAAAATGTGTTGGGAGTATTGTCTAACGCCAGTCGAATTCAGTGATCTTAGGATAATTTTCAAGTTCACGAGTGAGTATTCGTGTGATATCCCCAAACTAATGGATGGAATTTGTTCGCATTTTGTATCAAAGCATCCGATGACAGTTCGGATACATTGAGATCATTTTCAGGGTCACGTAGAGGATTTTTGCGATATTCAGATATCGACATGTGGCGGGGTAAAAACCTTTCATTACGGATTTTCAAAATGTTGTCAGAAATTTGTTTCTATAAGTTCATGTTGTAAAATTATTCGTGACACGTCTTTAAACTACCAGAGATTATTTGTGTTTGTTTTGAATATTGAAGTTAATTGTTTTCACTATGGAGTTATTTTCACTGTTGACGCAATGACACATTTTACAAGAAATAGCTTTCCATATTTTAATGTTAATTCTATTACATTTTGAAGTTATTCATGGCATATAAAAATTAACAGGATATTGTTTGTTTACGCTTTGAAAAGAACGTTTATTCTTCTTCATTTTTGGGGAGGGGCGGTGGGGTAGCCTAGTGGTTAAGGCGTTCGCTCGTTACGCCGAAAACCCGGGTTCGATTCCCACATGGGCACAATGTGTTAAGTCCATTTCTGGTGTCCCCCGCCGTGATATTGCTGGAATATTGCTAAAAGCGGCGTAAAACTAAACTCACTCACTCACTCACTCATTTTTTGGGCGGTGGGGGTAGCCTGAGTGGTTAAAGCGTTCGCTCGTCACGCCGAAACCGGGTTCGAATCCCCACATGGGTACAATGTGTGAAGCCCCTTTCTGGTGTCCCCGCCGTGATGTTGCTGGAATATTGCTAAAAGCGGCGTAAAACCAAACTCACTAAGTCAGTCTCCTTCATTTTGGAATTATTTTCAATGTTGACGCAAGGACATATTTGAAGTTAATTTGATGTTTTGATCATATGTGATATATTATGATTTATGTTTCGATCATACATTCATATATTGCGTTGTCACAGTTTAACCTGGTTCGTATTATATTCTTCATCATATTACTACATATTACTGTATTTTTTATGAGAGGAAATTTGATGTTAAGGGTTACCACAAGACGTCAAGGCCGCCATGTTGTGCGACAGCATGTACAGAATCCTTCATGGAGGCATCCGAAACAGCACGCCAGACGGTGGGAACACACGGAAGACCAATCAGTACTGATACAGTACGCCGACGTCTTAACAGCGGGAACCTCCATTTCCGTAGACCTTACCGTGGACCTATCCTCATCCCTCGTCATCGGTGTGAACGTCTACAGTTTGCCCTACAACACCAAAACTGGCGATACAGGCAATGGAGAACGGTTCTGTTAACAGATGAAATATAAACTGCAGATGGCAGATCAAGAATATGGCAATTTTGATAACTATTTATCACCTCAGTCTACTGAATCAGGTGGTTACTACTTCATCGGGACCCATACCCCTCTTTAAAGATTAACAGTTTAGCAAAGGTTTTTAATGAATTCAATTCATGGATTGTTATTTGTGAATGATGTTAACATTTCCAGTCGTGGAAAAAGTATGCATTCTATTGAAGATAAATGGCGTTTGGAGTTAAATTTTCAAAATCAAAAACTAACTGTATCCATTTTTATCGCAAATATAAACCTCACAAAGACCCAGACTTATGTTTAGATAACACACCTATATATTAAAGTGGTAAAAGAAGCGAAATTCTTGGTTGTAATTTTTTATGAGCACTTGCACTTTCGATCTCATATTAAATATTTTAAAATAAATGCCTGAAGGCCCTTGATTTGCTAAGTTATGTCTAATACAAAGTGGGGAGGTGATCAGAAAACCCTCCTCAAACTCTAGCGAGCACTTACACGCTCCAAACTGGATTATGGCGGAACCTGCAAAAGCATCCTTAAAGTTTTAGATTCTATCCACCATCAAGCTCTGAGACTTCTCCAATCGACAGTCTATACGTCGAGGCTGAGGAGCCATCCTTAAAACATCGCCGTATCAAATTATCTTTGCAGTATGTCCTCAAACCTTTTTCGAATCAGTCCAATCCTGCTTATGCTGTATGTTTAATCCTCTTCATGAGGATCTGTACAATAAACCGTTTCTTTCTGCTTCTAACATTGACCTAAATAATATATCTCCTTCCCGCCTGTTTTATTTTCCTCCTTGGCCACAAGTAGACTTAACACTGGCCACATTAAATAAATCTGAGTGAGTGAGTGAGTGAGAAATCTGAAACAAACGAATTACGATACAGACAAGAAGATAATCAATTAAGAAATAAATATAAACTTACAAATCCTTATTTACAGACGGATCTAAGGATGGTGGCGCGGTTGCTTGTGCCACTGTCATTGAATCCAGAACAATACCTTCTCTATGCCAGCTCTGTGTTTTCAGCTGAAGCAAATGCCATATTTACAGCATTAAAATATATTAATAAACACCCTGAACATAAACAATACATACTCTTTTCCGACTCTGTTTCGTGCCTTCAGGCTATAAAAAAATTTGTCTTCTCAACATCCACTTTTAATAGAAATTATTGAATTATATAATGATCTTGCTACTGGCCAATACGACATCGTCTTCTCTTGGTTACCCAGCCATGTTGGACTTTCTGGTAATACAAGGGCCGATTTTGCAGCTAAGGCAGCACTCAACAAATACGTGATACCACTTCTAATTCTATTCTCTGATTCTATAGCTATCATCAACTCTTACATCCGTGATCTGATGCAAAAAAAGTGAGGTGAGGTGAGGTGAGGTGAAATTGGGTTTTACGTCGTGCTTGAGAATATTTCGCTCATATGACGACGTGCATGCGTGTGTATGTGTATGTGCGGCTGCTTGTACTAGCCCAGAATGAAGCTGGTTTCATAGTGCTAGCCCACTGAGATACCATGCCGCAGTGAAGCATGAATACCCCACTCAGACACATTATACTGACTCCGAGCCGACCAGTCCTTGTTGTACCCATTAATGCCGAGCGCCAGGCAGGGACCAACAAGTACCATATTTTAACGTCTTTTGGTATGACGCGGTTGGGGATCGAACCGGGCGGACGCTCTAACAACTTCACCACGGAGGCGGTCGCAAAAGAAGTGGGTCACCCAAGTAGGTATCAATAAATTACATCAAATCAAGCCAACTATCGGTTATACCTACTTGGGTTGTCAGTCCAGATTTGAGGGGGTCATTTTGCGACGATGTCGCATTGGCCATACGCGATCTACACATGAATATTTAAAAGGTGAGGTTCCTCCGTTTTGTATCCCTTGTGATGAAAGAATCACGGTCAAGCATGTGCTGCTTGACTGTATTGATTTTTCCCTCACAAGGATGAGTATTTCAGTGTACTTTGTCTTTTTACTACTGTACATTTTAATTTAACCATTGTTTTTTTAAAGAAATGGAATTGTTGCATAAATTTGTATATGTTTTGTAAACAGATATATATTTTATAATTGATTAGTAGTTTAGATTGTCAACTGGGATTGTTCAGGGCTGTATCCTCAAAGGGGGTTTACTATACAAATATTGTCCTCCTGAGACGGTACGTAAGTCCCAAAA